GTACTGTATTTTCTATCAGATTTTGATGTGCTATAAACTATTTAACGTAAAAAAGTGAGCTGATTTCAAAAAAATTTTGAAATTAGCTTGACAGATTTAAAAAAAAATCTAATTTCTGCAAAAAAAGCATGTTTTTAGTGGGTATATTGGGCTTAGCCAAATATTAATTTACCCTAAAATTCCATAGATAAGAGCGGTTTTCGCTAAAAAATACTTTTTTCTGAAATTTTGTTATGGATATTAATTTTTTTTCCTTATTTTTCTTTTTTTGTTTTTTAACCTTACGTTTTATATTTTTTATTGTAGAAATCATGCAACGTCGCAAGTCTTATACGGCGGCTTTCAAGCTTGATGCGGTGAAGCACCGGGATGCGCATGGAACATTAGCGGCAGCTATTGATTTTAATGTGACTGAAGGAATGATTAGAAAATGGGTTGCGGATAGGGATATCCTCGAGGAGATGCCAGCAACGAAAAGAGCCCGGCGTTACAAAAGGGCCAAGCGTGGAAGAAATTGAGGAGAAAATTTACAATTGGATTGTTCAAAAGAGAGGCCATAATAGAGCAGTCAAAATAAATGAGTTAAGAACCAGAGCAAAGAAGTTGGCAGAAGAGCACGGTTACCACGAGTTTAAGGCATCCCCGTATTGGTGCAGCTTATTCATGGCACGAAAAAATTGTCGATACGAAGAAGAACAAGTGTAGGACAACCACTGCCATGTGATCATCAACAAAAATGTTCTTCTTTCCGGAAGTTTGTCGCAGCTGAAGGCTTAAACATTTCTCGTCACAACTTAGGAAATGTCGATGAAGTTCCGGTTCCCTTTGATGTCGTGTATGAACGGACTGTGGATGTCAAGGGGCGAGACAACATAAAAATTGATTCCACTGGTCATGAGAAATCAAATTTTACAGTTGTACTTGGTGTGACTGCTGCTGGTGAAAAACTCAAGCCGATGCACATTTTTAAGAAAAAGTTGATGCCCAAAGACAAATTCCCGGCAAATGTCATCATCAAAACGAATGAAAAAGGTTGGATAAAGCACGAGCTGATAAAAGAATGGATCACTGAAGTATGGAATCAGAGGCAACAGTGCAATTGAGACCCTGATCGGTCCTTACTCATTTTCGACTCTGCTCGTTGCCATATAACTGACAAAGTAAAGCAATTCTGCCAACAGCACAGTAAAATAGCTGTAATACCAGGTGGTATGACCAAAATTCTGCAGCCATTAGACGTAGGTATCAACAAACCATTTAAGGACAAATTGAAGGATGGCTGGGAAAAATGGATGGCAAACGAATCCAATGCAAATTATACAAAAAGCGGAATCAGAAAAAGAATGAGCTACCAAGAAGCAGCATTTTTGGTCAGCCAAAGGTTTTTTTCCACCTCTTCTGACACTATCCTACATAACTTTGAAAAAGCATTGTGTGACGTTGAAAATCTCAAAACGATTTTTCCTGTATGGATATAAACGATGATGACGATGTAGAAATTGAAAATATTGGTTAAATTATTGTTACTATTGTTGTTGTTTTTTGGTTTTATAATAAATTAAAATATTTTTAAAAATTTTTGCAAAAATTAAACCGCTCTTATCTATGGAATTTTAGGGTAATTAAATTACAGATATCAAATATCAAATCAAACAGATATCAAATCAAATGAATCAAATAATGAATTAAGCCGAACTTTTAGTAAATTTTGCATTTAAAACATCAGAAACGCTTTAAAAACACGTTTTTCAAACATTTTATAACTCGATTTGAGTGCATTTTCCCAATCTCGGATAGCAAGATTCGAATTCAGCGCACCTTAAAACCCTCAAAATGGTTGATTTCAAGTGAATTCATCTAAACCATACAAGTATCAATGTTTTAAAGTGCTCAAATCGTTTTTATTAAATTAATCATACATTTCTGACCCAAGAAACATTAAAAAAACTAAAGAAAACTTTGGTAAAAATTAATTTTCCAGACTGCTCTCCCTTCGAGCTACTATAGCCTCGGAAATCGAGCTACTAGACTAGTGAATTACTGCGAACGAAAGAAAAATTTAACGGCTAATTGAGAAAAGACTTCATTTTCATTACTTTCACATCCCATCACTAGAAAAAAACAGTTATTTTTATCAACAGAAGGTATTTCCACTGAAAGGATTATATTCTCAAGCCTCTTTACTAGAGAAAAAAAGATAGGAATTCTCCTTTTTTGACACACTGAATTCTAGTTTTCTATTTAAAATTAAAAAATTTTGAATTCGAAATCGGATGCAAACTATTTTGCTGACTTAGCCTAGCTGTTAAAGTATTTTAGATTTTATTCACCAAAATACTTTCAGTCGCATCGACTCCCGAATTCACTACAACGAAGAAAGCTTTTTGTTTGAGAGAAAACAGTTTTTGCAACGATAAATTTAGAACTTTTTGAATCAAAAAAAGCAGATTTTCGAATTCGTTTCCCATTTTTATGAATGAAAATGGAAAAATCAAAATCAACGAATCTTGTACCATCTAGCAGTTAACTTAAGCCCTCGAGAAAGATCCGAGCAGCAGTGATCAAGGCCAATGACCAGTGATAGAGAAAGTTGTGTTAGCATTTCGTTCACTTGAAATTTATAGATTTATAGATCAGGAGCAAAGCTCTCACCCGAGATTGTTCGTGATAGTCGGCCAAAGTGATCTCACACTCTCATAGAAATAATGATTAACACGGCCCGACCCGTTATAGGTTCCTAAAACATTTCTAAGGCTTGAAACTTTCTTCTTTGCACTTACCAACCTGGAATCGATCATAAGCATTGAGTGAAGCAAGGCCGTCAACAACCAATTGAGATAATCCATTTGTACCACGAAAAGCGATCACATAATTGTTCTTGACGGCTGAGTAAGCGATGTACATTTGACATTCGTTGTTCTTCTAAAATCAATATGTAGGTACTTACAAGCTAGACTTACACTATCACAAGCAGCTGTTGCAACAGCTTTTGTCTGATCTGGAGAAAGATCCGAGCAGCAGTGATCGAGGCCAATGCTCCACCCAGCGAATGACCAGTGATAGAGAAAGTTGTGTTAGCATTTCGTTCACTTGAAATTTATAGATTTATAGATTAGGAGCAAAGCTCTCACCCGAGATTGTTCGTGATAGTCGGCCAAAGTGATCTCACACTCTCATCAAATGGAAAGATCAAAAAAAAAAACGGCAACAAATCATAACTATTTCTACTTAGACCTCAAAATTTTTTCGTTCAATGGCTTATTTGTTTGACTTCTTCGGGATTCAAGTGGGTTGGTTAAAAAGAAGAAAAAGATCAAAGCGTGAGAGAATCTTGAATTTCCAAAAAAAGGTGCCTCAAATTTCTGTTAGGTGAAATAAAAAGCAAGCATTTTCAAAGGACTCACCATTTTTTTTTTAAAGTAAAATGAATACATTTGGATATATTTTGATTTGCTTTGTTAGATGTTTTGTCGCACAATTTGAAGACGAAGCGGGGGATTTTGGTGAGCAAAATTGAGATTTTGAAATCTTAAAACTGAAAAATTTGATTTATTTCAATTTTCTACTTAAAAATCCTTCTAGTTTTCTATATTTTCAGAAAAATTCGATCAAATAAAAGATGTGAACAATTTGTACACTGAGCTTTTTACGAAGCGCAACTACAATCGCTATGTTTATCCATTTAACAGAAATTCTCAAAACACAAGTACGAGTGGGTTTTCGATGAGAATTCGAGTGAGAATTCGGTATTTTTGGTCCATTTTAGACAAATTACACATACACTTTGATCTTTGGTACATAAAATTGCTCTCTTTGAACGCGGAAAGTCAACTCTTGAGTGTGAATCTTGAATTGAAAATGGTAAATGGGTGGAGGATTTCAGATAAACAAGAGATTTCAGTTTTGGCATGATCCAAGACTTATCTGGAATCCGGCCAAATTCAATGGAACCGATAATCTCTTTATTTCGACAGAAATCCTTTGGATTCCGGATTCTCAAATCGGAAATGCGCAAGTTTTATGATTTCCAAGGCTAGGGAGATCCATGAAAAGTATTTTTGCTTTTTTTTCTGCTCAATTCAGAGCTTGATCAGCTCAATTCAGAGCTTAAGGAGTTCAGTTAATTCAGTTAAACCCAGACTTGACTGTATTTCATTTCTTTCAGGAAAACTCTTGATTCGATCAAAGCTGGAGAGGCGGTGAGATCAGCGCAAATCTTCAGCAATGGAACCATCTACTTTCCTGTATTCTATTATACTGAAGTGGCTTGTCCGATTATTGTAAGAGCTTTGAAATATATTTCATCCAATTCTTTAGATTAATACATTTCCATTTGACAGGCAGTTATGTCCCATTCCGTTGATGTCATTGATTTATGACGAGTAAGTGAACAGACAACCTTTTCCGTTTGGTTTTTACTTTTTAATTCAATTACATATGTTTTCCAACTTGCAATTCGTATAGAAAATACATTTCGACGACAGTCGGCATTGATCCATTCCTCTTTCAACTCACTGGAACTCAGGCAAGCATCGAAAGCTTATCAAAACAGACTTTACAGCTTTTCAAGATGATTAGATCTTTGAAAACGTTATAAAAAGGCATTTCAGGCTGCAAAAATGTTAGCCGAAAGCACCTCGAATCTTGATTTAGAAGGTCTTTCAAGTACCGATGGATTGGTTGGATTAATGCTATCGAAACAGTTTTTGGCTTGGGTGAGTGATGGGTTAAAGAAGTAAAAAGCTTGTCTTTGAGATTATGTAATGGGTTTTGCTCATCACCAGCTGCAAAATCTTTAGGGTAACGGTGAATGGGATGTGACAAATATCTCAGCTGTCAGTGCTTCTCAAGGAGGAATGACAATGGTAGGGTGAAGCTCCTGATTCGATGAATAACTTTTACAGATAGCCTATCTGCTTAGCATTCGAAGAGTACCGAATTTCTATGTCTACGTGATCGCCACTCCTTGTTTCATTTTGACAACCCTATCAATTGTGGGAATGTTCTGGACGCCGAATATTAAAAAGGAGCAACTTGTGAAGGTTGTAGAAACAATATTTCTCAACAAATACAATCAGAAAGTCATTTAGTTAACGATCGGTTTAACAAGTCTCGTGTCGATGACTGTTTTATTGCAAATGCTTTCAGATGCTATTCCAAAGACTTCTGTTTTTCCCTTATTAGGTAAAAAGTTAAAGACAAAGTTTTTTTTGATGTAAATTTAACTTCTCATAACTTATCGATATTAATGAAATCATTAATCACAAGAAATTAAGTAAAAACCATAATTTAATATGTGTAAAGTCTAAAACTTCAGCTAAATTCAGATTCAGAACTGATTTCTTTGATCACTATTGATGTTGTCAGTTAGAAGTTTAGCTTTTAAAATAGTCAATTTCAAAAAAATAGTAATCCTTTCAGGTATTTATGTGGTTTGTTGTGTTGGAATCATTTCATTTGCCTCTGTTGTCCTCACTCTTCATTGTTTACCAAATCCAAGAAAGCATCATGATCAACAAGAAAATGATAGTTTAAAACAAAAACAAAGTCAATTCTCTCGGGTCACTCGTTTCATTGCCTCCATTTTCCATCGAAATCTATTTTTCTTGCTTTTCTTTCAAATATTGAACTTGATTGGTTTCATTGTGTTTTTATCATATTGGAATTGAAGGAAAGCGGGAATAAAAGCATGAAATACACAAAAGACATTAATTTATCAGATCACAACTCACACTCACGAATTTGATGAATTTGATTTTTCCCATCTAAAATCTTCAGATGTTAGAGAAATTGCATTTTCAGCAGTAGAGAAATTGCATTTTCAGCAGTAGAGAAATTGCATTTTCAGCAGTAGAGAAATTGCATTTTCAGCAGAAATTGCATTTTCAGCATTGTCGAACTAACAAGCGCCATGTCCGATTATCACAATCGGTTCTCCTTTTTGACAAGCTTCATATCACGACCGAGGCAAACGGGATGAGTGCTATCAGTAAATTTGACAGGCTCATTTGTTTAAATGATAGAATATTGTAATTTTAAAAGCTATCTTTCTTATGCTTTTATAAAAGCTATCTCTTTCTTATGCTTCTATAAAAGCTATCTCTTTCTTATGCTTCAGTGGTAGCTGCTTTTCAAACTCAAATCTAAATTGATTTTGATCTACTCGAATAAGTGCCGCGTCAATCTTTAAATTGTGGTATCTTGGATGAAGAAACCTTCCTTTTTCAGTCCCCGTGAACTAGCTATTTTTTATTTTTTTTATTTTTATAACTAGCTTGTATTATGATGTGCCATGTATAAGCTTAAGTTCCAATTTTTCCCGTTTACTTAATGGGACGCCGTCAGCACCCAATTCGGAGAAATCAATAAATCTGCATCTGTAACTCTAAATATTAAACGATTTTGACAATTTTCTTTCAAATTACATTTTTACATAGTACTGATAGGTGCCAAGTTTGCCAAATGTTGATCGGAATTGTTGATCTTCAAATGGCGCTTTTGTGTTCCGTTCTTGAAGTCCGTTCTTAGTCTTTTAGATAAAAATTCAATTTCTTTATAAAAATAGATTTTAATCTTAACATTTTTTAAGAAAAAAAAAACCCAAAAACCTAAAGTTAATTCCTAAAATCAATGATAACCAAACAATCTTTCATCGATTTTTAGCAAATTTGTCGCAATTATTTTGTGCTTTGAAAAAGAATCATTTCCAATATAATCTTTTCATTAGACTAAATATAAGCTGTCATTTTTTTGCTTGTAGATTTCTGAGTTTTCTAAATGGTAATAGAATTTACAGATGTTTTCACTTTTAAAAGCAAAAATAAAGCATTTTTTAAAAAACACTACAAACTTCAGGCTACAAACTATACAAGCTTTAAAACAGAAAACATAAAACTTGCAATTTTGAACCACAACGTGTTAGCTTTCTTTTTAAAAATTTAGTCAAATGACAAGAATAAATGAATAGAAAAGAAGAGTGTATTTTGAACTCAAGACATCGTGGCCTTTCTGCTTATTTTGAGCGGAAGTGGTGGTGACGTGTAAGGGATTTTGGATGTATCGATGAAATCGATTGGCTAAATGTTGAATGTAGCAAGAACTACGTGCTTCGGCGACGCCACTTTACCTCAATCACACTGCTTTCTCTCCATTCATCATATGAGGCTAGTCGTTTCATTTCTAGCGAAAGTTTTTCCTGCATCTTTTCACAGAAATCGGGTGATGCTTTTTTGAGATGATCTTTCAGTCGATGAACACACTCCTGGAATTGGCATTTTCTTTTGTTTGATCAATTTTTGATATTTTCTATCAATTTTCTTCGAAAGTTTCCACTAATTACCGTAAAAAGCGGCCGATTTTCAGGTGCATACTGCCAACACTGTTGCATTAAATCAAATCTAAACTTTTTAAGAATAACCTAAACTTAGTTTATTTACAAATCGTCGTGGGCAAACTCAGGCTGCCGATTTATCGCGCCATCTAATATTTTTTGGAAAACATCTCGATCCGAAATATTTTCATATGGATGTCCTCCCAAGGTGAAGATTTCGTACAAAAGGATTCCATAAGACCAGACATCGGACGGAAAAGATATCATTTAGCAAAATACGCCGAAAAAAACAAACAGCTTGTGTGTAATAGCTATTCGCTATTGTCTCAGGACTCATCCATCTCACCGGAAGAACAGTTTCTTGTTGTTGGGCTTTTCTGAAATACTTTTTTTGTGTAATTTTTTCTCTCTTACCTGTAATAGTCCTTCTGGCTGCTTTTCGCCATACCAAACTCAGCGATTCGGCAGATGTTATTCGCTGTGAGTAGAACATTTCGCGCTGCTAGATCTCGATGGATGCACTGAATTTTGGAGATCAATTACTCAATAAAACACTCTACTGGAATTCCACTCAAATATTCCATTCCATTGGTTCCTAAATACATCTGTGAGCATAAAACTGATTAAATAACGGTTTTGTTTTCAATTTTTCAAAGTTTATAACTAGCCTTGACAGCAATATGAAGACGCTGATGAGTGGGGTTCGTCGATTTCTTCAGAAATCCCTTCGAGACTTTACCGAACTCGCCCTTTCCTAGCTGAAGTTTGAACTTTTCAAACAACTATTTTTCTTGTCCAACCGCTCCAGTGATCTCCAGATTTTCATCTCTCAACTCGAGCTTGGGATTATAGGCAATTTGGTAAACACGCTGATCAAGTGGGATTAGCATTTCCTCCATCTCTTGAGTGATCGCTTCACCGCCACCACCGCCACCTTTTATCAGCTCATCATATAAAACGTGCAAAGCACTGAAAAACAGCTTGTTACTTGAAATCAAAGTGAAGAAACTTCTCTCGATAGGCCGCTCGTTTCCTTTGTTTGATCCAAAGAACGAAGAATATGAATACGGAAATCACAAGAAAGAATCCGATAACGGCAAAGAGAAGAAGAATCCATTCAGTGCCCTCACTTTTTACCTGACAGTCTTTAATATTTGTATTTTTTTGTTTTGATACCTCAAGGGAGATGACTCGACTTGCCTCCCCAGCTCGATTCTTTCCAATACATTTATACAATCCACTATCTTGTGTATTCATTTTCTTTATCACAAGAGAGTTATCAGGCAAAACACCCTCAGTTAATTGTTTCCCATCTTTCCACCTAAATTGGTAATTTGTCTTAATTTTCAACGCTATAGACCAAGTGACGCTTGGAGTCGGGCTTCCGCTCAATTTGCATTCAAGTCGATGGTCTTCGCCGGCTCTGACCCGAATCTTCTCTTCTTCTTTTTCGAGTAGTAACGGAGCCGATACTTCTTTAACCTAAAAATTTGGCATTTTGTTTAGAAAAAAATCACGAACCTCAATCTGGATTGATTGATTGAACGCTGTGATTCCCTCGTTGTGCTCAGTCACACAGATCAGCTCACCTGATTGTTGGACGGTGATATTCTACAGATAAAAGATTAGTTTCTGGAAAAGAGACTCACATTGAGTTTCGCTTCAAGGATAAACGAGTGACCTTGGGTGATTTTCTCTTCGTTCTTTGCAATTTCTACTTGGTTGTGCAGCCAGCGCATTGTGCTTAAAAAATTGTACTTTGAGAATTTCATTCTTGTGGTCAATTGGTGAGGAAATAAACAAACACTGATTTGTCTTTGATAGCTCGACATTTGATCAGCACATCATCACCTTCTTATTTTTTTTTGTCATCAACCCCATATGAGATTTGCTCTTTTCTCAAGAAAACCTTGAAAGGACACTGGCGATTATCGTCTTTCCCGAACTACGCCGTTTTTCCCATATCTTTCCCATAGTCACTTGATTTCTTTAAAATGTTTTTTGCCTTCAATCATAAAACTTATAGATTTACTTCTTGATTTTACATGGCAATTGAAAATTATTTAAATCAAATTTTAAATCTTCAAATTCTTTTAGAAAAATTTTTGAAAACAAAGTCTTTACGATGATCCATGTGGGCATCCATGATTTTGACGATAGGTATTTTGTTTACTAAAACAATCCAAATATGAATTTCCATCAGCTATATGGAATTAGAGATTGGACAAAATGCGACTATTTCATGCTACCATCGACATCCCAGCTCCAAGCTCAGGTGAAAAGCGTTGTACTTATAAATTTATGTAATGAATAAATTTTTTTCTTTGTTTAGATGGACCTTGCCAAATGTGACCAATTCGATTTTAGATGGTTTCAGTGACATCGATTTTCAGCAAAGAGTCACTGTCATTGAAAAAGAACAGGTTAAATTGCAAATATTATTTGAAATCCCTTACTTTTTCAGATTCTAATAAATTTTAGGAGTCAATCTTGCAAATCCGAGCCGTAAAAGTAACCGATACGGGCCGCTATGTGTGCACTGAATCTGCTACATCTAAATGGAGAGAAATTGAAAATGTTTATCTCATTTTTGTAAACGGTATGAAGATAACAAGTAGATTACATGGCTATTAGATTTAAATTGATTCATGCTTTAGGTCCATACATGCTCCTGAAAAGCAACATCTACACGATAGAGAGCGATCCTTCAAAGTTTGTCGTACCATGCCGTGCATCTTCGCAACACATCAAAAGTCGGTTTTACAAGAAAGTTAAGATCAACTGAGGTAAGCAATGATCAAAAAACTTTAGAAGAAAAATTGAGACTCTTTGTTGACGATAATGGTTGGACAAAAGTTGATAAAGAGATTCACTACGTGCCAACGTGAGCAAAACAAGTGTAACCAGCTAACGGGAATTGTTTAGAGAAGGCTTTTTGGTAAATGCGGAGGCGGCAAACGAACTTTTACATTCTTCGAAGAATGAAAAAAGACGCTTCCGCTGTGAATACGAGAATGAGAAAATCGAGTTTCTTGTTGGAGCTATTTGACCAAATGTCTCAATGAAAGCAGTTTTTAGGTACACCCATCAGCTGACTTAAACGCCATTTCACTCAAACTCACCCCAAAGGATTTGTGGGCCTATGAAGGTAAATAGTCAAATAGTATTGGGTTGGTGGGTATGACTTTGCACGTTTTTTGAAATGTAATTTTTCTTCAGTTAACAACTTCAAATCATGCGAGACATTTTCCATTATTTTGTATGATTTGTGCCCATTATACTGGAAGAAGTCGAACGAGGCGTTATCCTCGTAGAAAATCTTTGGTTTTGACGCAAATCAAACTGTCAGCCACTTTTTGACCTGTTCTTCGGAATCATGTTCGTAGTGGAGCTGATCCTTTCACATAAACATTCTCAATATTTGTTGAACACTAGAGGCCGTTGTGTTCTTGTAGAAATTCGTACAACATCACGTATCGCAGATCTCCAGATGGTAGATTTGTTCTAACTATTTTCATACTTTACTTTGTTCTAACTATTGGGTTGGGGAGAATGAGTCGGCGCCGAAAATCAAAGAAATTTCTAAAACTTATAGCAGACTTTGTCAAATGATATGCGTTTGATATCCGTAGAAGGGTAACTAATTCTCTACAAAATCATATTTAAAAGAGAACTCAAACAGCGCCTCAACTCAACAAAGGATCATTTTTTCACAAAATCGATAAACTGTCATCTAGAGTAAACGGTTGGAGGGATCTTCCTGAAAATTTGGTAACTTATGTAATTGAGTGTGCTCTATCTTTTTTATATAAACCCCAAAGGAGGTTTATGTGGAAGGAACTGTTCAAGCAATGAGTCGGACTTTTTGTCGTTTTGATTAGCTGTGTCCATAAAATCCCAAAAAAGAAAAGCTTTGTGGAATCTCTCAAAAGCCATTTTGTAAAGAAATAGTGGACCATTTTGATGAAACAAAACGTGTATTTAAAGAAGGTTTTATGGGTGCAAAAAGTTTCTTTAAATTTCGGCGCCGACTCATTCTCCCCAACCCAATATTTTCATAGTTAGAACAAAGTAAAGTATGAATGTTCACTTACCTATTTTCCACAAACCCCTGTCCCTCATCTTTGTTTACATCTCTGGGATTTAATTTGAAAAAACGTGCCAAATCATACCCACCAACCCAATAAATAGTCAAATAGTAAATAGTCCTGAATAAATCCACAAGTTAATCCAGGCGCTGAGAACTACACGATAAGATGTACCTACTCAGAGAGCTTTTGGGAGGAAGAGGCACGCTTAGACATTCAATGCCCCCGATGTGATATGCTTGCTGTGGTTATATATTTCATCTTCTGATACAGCAAAGCTTGTGTACTTTGTTCAAGTGTATTTCTAATAACTAAAGCAACTTGTTGTATATTCCTTTATTCAGAAAGTGCAACAAGAAAGTGCAACAAACTTGAACAGAAATGGAACTTTGGCTACATTAATGACATTTCGGAATTTATCCAGAGATGATGCTGGAATCTACAATTGCTCTTTATGGACAAAGATGCCGACACTGTAAGTACATTAATTTAGTGAGCAATTTGATCGATCATCTCATTGTTTTTATTTAGTTTTGACAATGAGGTCTTAAATCATTTGAATAGCAACGAAACTTGGGAACTTCGTGATTCGATCACTTTTTCATTGACCATTTCACCCACTCAAACACAAATTCGTGTAAGTAAATGAACAAATGAATTTATTTCCTTCTAGTTTGAAGCATATCAAAAGGAGCTCACTGTGAAAGTTGGAGAGAGACTTGAACTGAAAGGTACTTTTCTTCAGATTCACTTATTTCGGCAAAATATTTAGCCTTTCTTTCGACGTTCCTTATTGACTTGTCAGAGCATCGCTCACAATGGAATCGAGTTTGTTCTCTTTTTATCTATTAGATTGGTTAAAAAGAAATGCGCGTTTTCGTTAAAAGTTTATTTTATTATAAAAACAAGATCACAATACATTAATCCAAAAGGTATTCGCCATCTGCATCAATGACTTGTCGCCAACGTTCACGCAGAGAATGGATGCCCTTCTTGAAGAACTCGACCGGCTGCGACTCGAAGAAGTTGGACACCCAAATTTGGACCTCGTCGCGGTTCTTGAACTTTTTCTCGGCCAAGGAGTGGTGCATTGATCGGAACAGATGGTAGTCGGAAGGCGCCAAGTCTGGGCTGTATGGCGGATGAGGCAGGACTTCCCAGCCTATTTCTTCAATTTTCTGCTGGGTGATTTTTGCGACATGCGACCGAGCGTTGTCGTGGAGGAATTTTGTCGACGCCGTATCCACACCTTGACGTCGCAGCGCCTGGTCCATGCGGTCCAATTGACCTTGGTAGAGGTTCGCCGTAACTGTTTGACCCGAATCCAGAACCTCAAAGTGCACCAGCCCTTTACCGTTCCACCAAACACAAAGCATCACCTTTTTTCCGTGGATGTCCGGTTTTGGAGTCGGTTTTGGAGCTTCACCGGGGTCCAACCACTGCCGCTTTCTTGCTGTGTTGTCGTAATGGATCCACTTCTCATCCGACGTAACAATGGAGTCGAAAGCCCCACTGTTCTTGGCGCGGTGAGTGAGAATCCCGGCGATTGCGATGCGTGTCGCCTTGTTTGATAGCTTATGCGGTACCCATTTTCCGCATCTATTCGTCTTGCCCATACCATGCAGATGGTTCTCAATGGTGACATGATTGCAGCCGAGCCGTTCTGCTAGGTCGCGAGTGGTTTGGCGTGGATCCGACTCAATGGCTTCCTTCAATGCGTCGTTGTCGATGATTTGAGGTCGACTCCCGTGTTTTTGGTCTTCCAAGCTTTCGTCGCCGTCTCGGAAGCGCTGGAACCGTCGTTTACACTGACTTTCGGATAGAGCATCTTCGTCAAACACTTGAGATAGAGTGCGATGAGCTTCAGCAGTCGATTTGCCTTGCTTAAATTCATACCACAAGCAGGCCCGCAAGCGAAATTTTTGGTCCGACATTTTCTCTTTCTCTTTCTTGTAAAAAAACAAAGTAAACGTAGACAAATTATATATCAAACGATGCGCAAGAACACGCTATTTCTAATAGAATAAACTATTTTTTTTTAAATCTTTTACTGTGAAAGATACAAATCAACAAACACGACGCTCATTTCTTTTTTACCAACCTAATAAAATTTGCTTTTCACAAAAAGCTCAATTACAAGGGCAGAAGATTCCAATATAAATGACTTTTTAAACGCCCAACGTGGATCAAGAATTCGATGATGGTGAAGTAGTCTTCAATGACGTTTATACGACAGTGAGTGAAGAGTGGATGCAATTAGTGGCTCATCCACAGTTCTTCTAGTTCTTCTAGTTTCACCTGTATTCAGATTGATAGTCGAATAGGAAACACTAATGAAACTGTCATCGAAGAACTTCTCATTCCAAAAGCTCGACTTTCCGATACAGGACGGTGAGGTTGGAGTTGAATAACCAAGTTTGAACTCCATTTAGGTACACGCTTTCTGTGAGAGTTGGAGGTCGAGTAGAGAAAACCCAGTGGATGGTTCGCGTTTATCCAAAACCTGCACAACTTCGAATGGATGTACTATCCACACACGACTTTCAACAATTCAATCGCTTCTACTACAAAGTAAGTACAAATTTCGGCTTTGGCTTTTTTCTTTACGACACTTTTTCCAGACCAACTCGACGATTCGAGTGCGCTGCTATTCCACAAGCCTTCAACACGAGCCCTCTTTTGTCTACCTGCAGTAAGACAATGAAAATGAAAATAGATAATTCTTCAGAAATGCCCAGCGTCATCAAGTTGAGAATAAGGAAATTACTCGATTGAAAGGCCAACCTGGGATCATTTGGAGCCCGATTGTCACCGATGATTTGGATGTTCTTTGTGAAGGAGTCAGTTGAATGAAAATCTAGATTGAAAATCGAAATTTTAAGCCTTTTAACAACAAGCTCATTTTTGAAAACATTTCAGTGGCAGACAAAGAGGATACAAATTTGGGCCGCTGAAGAAGCACATGCTGTGTCGAAACATGTTGTCAAAAGGGACAATTCTATTGATGAGGACTTGGTTTGTTCAACTCATACCTAACAATTAGACAATCATCTACATTCATTTTGTTAAAGAATAAAATTACAACTCTAGGAATCAATATATGAAGGTGATGATGTGCTGATCAAATGTCGAGCTATCAAGGACAAATCAGTGTTTGTTTATTTCCTCACCAATTGGCCACAAGAATGAAATTTTCAAAGTACAATTTTTTTAAGCACAATGCGCTGGCTGCACAACCAAGTAGAAATTGCAAAGAACGAAGAGAAAATCACCCAAGGTCACTCGTTTATCCTTGAAGCGAAACTCAATGTGAGTCTCTTTTCCAGAAACTAATCTTTTATCTGTAGAATATCACCGTCCAACAATCAGGTGAGCTAATCTGTGTGACTGAGCACAACCAGGGAATCACAGCGTTCAATCAATCGGTCCAGATTGAGGTTCGTGATTTTTTCTAAACAAAATGCCAAATTTTTAGGTTAAAGAAGTATCGGCTCCGTTACTACTCGAAAAAGAAGAAGAGAAGATTCGGGTCAGAGCCGGCGAAGACCATCGACTTGAATGCAAATTGAGCGGAAGCCCGACTCCAAGCGTCACTTGGTCTATAGCGTTGAAAATTAAGACAAATTACCAATTTAGGTGGAAAGATGGGAAACAATTAACTGAGGGTGTTTTGCCTGATAACTCTCTTGTGATAAAGAAAATGAATACACAAGATAGTGGATTGTATAAATGTATTGGAAGGAATCGAGCTGGTGAGGCAAGTCGAGTCATCTCCCTTGAGGTATCAAAACAAAAAAAAAGCAACAGTTTTGACAAATACAGTGCGTTTCAAATTCTTAAACGCACCCTCTAAAATCGCGGATTTTGCATTTTGACCACCGCTACAACTATTAATCTTTTTCTATTAGAAAGCGCATGTCTTAAAACCTAAAAAACACGAAAAATAAGCATACTGTAAAAAGTAAAATGGCACACGGAAAGCTGCTCACGGATTATGAGAAAGGCCCGATTGATGCCCGTTTGAGGATTGGCGACTCAATAAGGAAAATCGCAAAACATTTGGGCCGATCCGACTCTGCCGTGCGAAATTATATAAAGTCCGAGTTTGTTTCTAAACCAAAGAAAAAGCCCGGACCAAAACCAAAGCTGACACCGCGAGCTAGACGCCATATTGTGAAAAACCTTCACTGAAAAACGATCAATGAAGTGAAAACGGAACGCAAAATCGACGCTTCGAAGTCGACAATTTGACGAGCCATCAAGGAAAACCCACATATTGAATATGCAACCGATCGACAATTATTGAATATGCAATCGGTCGTGAAGCTTTTACACAAGAAAGCCCGATTGGCGTTCGCCAAGGCTCATATGAATCAGGATTGGTCATATGGAAGGAAGCCGCTTATTTTTTATAGGAAGCCGTAAGGAAGCCGCTTATTTTTTATTATTTTTTTTTGCGTTTAGGTGATCTTTTCCGATGAGAAGAAATGGAATTGGGATGGTCCCAGAATTGGGATGCGTTAATTACACCGCTACAACGAACACGCTACAATTGGAGGGATCTTCGACGTGATCCGATGGTGTTTGGAACTCGAAGCTTTGGCGGTGGTTCGGTGATGGTTTGGGCCGCCTTTTGTGCTGATGGAACGGTCGCTCTGAAGATGGTTTCGAATCGGATGACTAGATAGATAACTTGAACTCGATCTCCAGACGTCAATCCGATAGGGAATTTATGTCGAATACTTGTCCAAGCTGCCTACAAAAATCATCGTCAGCTTCAAGACGCATATTTGTACCTAAAACAGCGATCCGTTTGACCTGAAGCTATCTCGACGTCTTTGCTTTTCAAAACCTCATCAATTCTATGCCAGACCGCATTTTTCAAGTAATTAATCGTTCTGGAGCGTGTACAGATTATTAGTTTTGATTTTTTACCTTTGATTGTTAATTTCATAAATAAAAATATTTTCATAGTGCGTTTAAAAATTTGAAACGGTTGATCTAGCAAAAAGTTTCTATTTTGAAAATTTTTACTTTTCGTAGTATGTTCATTTTTCGTGTTTTTTGGGTTTTAAGACATGCTCTTTCTAATAGAAAAAGATTAATAGTTGTAGCGGTGTTCAAGAGGCAAAATTTGCTATTTTAGAGGGTGCGTTTAAGAATTTGAAACGCACTGTATTAAACACTGTCAGGTAAAAAGTGAGGGCACTGAATGGATTCTTCTTCTCTTTGCCGTTATCGGATTCTTTCTTGTGATTTCCGTATTCATATTCTTTGTTCTTTGGATCAAACAAAGGAAACGAGCGGCCGATCGAGAGAAGTTTCTTCACTTTGATTTCAAGTAACAAGCTTTTTTTCAGTGCTTTGCGCGTTTTGTACGATGAGCTGATAAAAGGTGGCGGTGGTGGCGGTGAAGCGATCACTCAAGAGATGGAGAAAATGCGAATCCCACTTGATCAGCGTGTTTACCAAATTGCCTATAATCCAAGGCTTGAGTTGAGAGATGAAAATCTGGAGATCAGTGGAGCGGTTGGACAAGAAAAATAGTTGTTTGAAAAGTTCAAACTTCAGCTAGGAAAGGGCGAGTTCGGTAAAGTCTCGAAGGGATTTCTGAAGAAATCGACGAACCCCACTCATCAGCGTCTTCATGTTGCTGTCAAGGCTAGTTATAAACTTTGAAAAAGTGAAAACAAAACCGTTATTTAATCAGTTTTATGCTCACAGATGTATTTAGGAACCAATGGAATGGAATATTTGAGTGGAATTCCAGTAGAGTGTTTTATTGAGTAATTGATCTCCAAAATTCAGTGCATCCATCGAGATCTAGCAGCGCGAAATGTTCTACTTACAGCGAATAACATCTGCCGAATCGCTGACTTTGGTATGGCGAAAAGCAGCCAGAAGGACTATTACAGGTAAGAGAGAAAAAATTACACAAAAAAAAGTATTTCAGAAAAGCCCAACAACAAGAAACTGTTCTTCCGGTGAGATGGATGAGTCCTGAGACAATAGCGAATAGCTATTACACACAAGCTGTTTGTTTTTTTCGGCGTATTTTGCTAAATCATATCTTTTCCGTCCGATGTCTGGTCTTATGGAATCCTTTTGTACGAAATCTTCACCTTGGGAGGACATCCATATGAAAATATTTCGGATCGAGATGTTTTCCAAAAAATATTAGATGGCGCGATAAATCGGCAGCCTGAGTTTGCCCACGACGATTTGTAAATAAACTAAGTTTAGGTTATTCTTAAAAAGTTTAGATTTGATTTAATGCAACAGTGTTGGCAGTATGCACCTGAAAATCGGCCGCTTTTTACGGTAATTAGTGGAAACTTTCGAAGAAAATTGATAGAAAATATCAAAAATTGATCAAACAAAAGAAAATGCCAATTCCAGGAGTGTGTTCATCGACTGAAAGATCATCTCAAAAAAGCATCACCCGATTTCTGTGAAAAGATGCAGGAAAAACTTTCGCTAGAAATGAAACGACTAGCCTCATATGATGAATGGAGAGAAAGCAGTGTGATTGAGGTAAAGTGGCGTCGCCGAAGCACGTAGTTCTTGCTACATTCAACATTTAGCCAATCGATTTCATCGATACATCCAAAATCCCTTACACGTCACCACCACTTCCGCTCAAAATAAGCAGAAAGGCCACGATGTCTTGAGTTCAAAATACACTCTTCTTTTCTATTTGTTTATTCTTGTCATTTAACTAAATTTTTAAAAAGAAAGCTAACACGTTGTGGTCCAAAATTGCAAGTTCTATGTTTTCTGCTTTAAAGCTTGTATAGTTTGTAGCCTGAAGTTTGTAGTGTTTTTTAAAAAATCCTTTATTTTTCCTTTTAAAAGTGAAAAGATCTGTAAAGTCTATTACCATTTAGAAGCAGAGCAAATTAAAAAATTTCAAATTTCCCAAAAAAATATTTGGTACTATAGGATTAAGGTGTTCATCAAAATATCTTATTTTTTCCATATGACGGCATATGTGATTGGACGATCTGATCGGTCAGAGATCAACACCTAGATGCTTTTAATCTAATCTATTTTGGCTATCAAAAATCCAAGATTCATTTATGAATCGAACTTTGAATTCGGCCTCCGGTTGATCATTGGTAACTCGGCCACAAATCTCTGTGCGCTCATAACTTTCCGCGTTTAAGACCAATCGCAAACCATGACTTGATCCTAAAATGCTCTACAATTACAATTTAACTTTATTACTTGCAACTCACCAGCATTCGAAACCTCAATCATCTCTTGATCATCGAGATTTAATGCCCAACAAAGCCCATTGTCCAAAATTGATGCCACATTTATGACCTACATTTGGTGCCATTTGGGAGTGTGCAACTAATATTTGCTTTTTTTAAAAAACTGTTTCCACTAAGTTACAGCTGAAACATTCTGGGATTTTACAAGGGAACGTTTATTGCAAACCACCTTTTAAAAGATTAATTCCTTGAAAAACTACAGTAATCGTTCTCTTAGCTTTTTCCTGACCCAGTTAATTATGAACTCATTCGATGAGGAATTGACGCATCGAAAAATTAGGGTAGTTTTCAAAATTAATTACCATTTGGAAATACCTTAGTCGCAAGGACTTAATCTCGATGCAATTTTCGCCTTTTCTGCAAATGCAATGAAATGTATTTGAATGTCAAATACAATTAAGTTTTTTATATATTTATTTCGGCATAAAGCATGTTACAAATTTTTAGATGCACTCACAGAATACCGTCAATGCTTCAATAGAACGCCCCCTATAGGGGACGTTTTATTAAAGCACTCACCATAGTATACAATAAAATGTCATAAAATACATAAAATACAAACTTTTTTTCACAAATGCTAGATTAATTTACAAAAGATATCAAGGTTTTAGCCTCTACGCAAATACTTGTCAAAGTTCTTTAGTTCAGAGGCAATAATTTCCAGCTCTTCTTTACTGGGATGATCTTGATTCGCTTTAAACACACGAGCGATCTACAAACTCCAACAACTATAATCGATAATTGAAATAACTTACCGTTGGAATGTATTTTGAAGTTGGAGAAGACAACATCCAATTTAAAAATTTTGTGGCGATTGGCACGTATTGGCTTTCTTCGTGTAGAAGGCTCGAGACGACTTGGAGAAACTGTGTAAACTCACTTATCACTACTTCTTTAGAAAAACAAACTTTATTCTCCGGAAGTTGATGACGATTATAAAACAGGTGAAGAGCTATCCGCATAATGGCAGCAGCAACAAGCGAAGGATTATTATTCATCAGAGGTGCTTTGGCCATTGCAATATATGCCAATCCCTTCACCGTCGCCCAACCATTTTCTCGCTCAATTTCACTCATGACATCACCGATCAATAACTAAAAACATACTTTAGAAAAGACGCCAAAAGCATCTAAAAAGCTTACCCAAAAAATACGAAGAAAGTGCAACAAATGTTTGCGTGAAACGGCAAAGTCAAAAAATTTCAGAAGCTAAAACATTTTTCCAGTCATCCTAAAAGATAAAAGGAAGATGAACCTGGGATTCCCATTGATTCATTTTGTCCTCTTGGCACTGTAGTTTATCATTGCAAACAACCGACTTAAGACGATTACACTAAAAAATTGTTTGAGAAATTAATGTGACAAGTTATACCATTTCATTTTCATATTCAGGACCTAGTTCGAATCTTCCAGCAATTTTTACCGCTGCCACCATAACAACGCGGTTTTCCACATCTGACATTTCAGAAATGTTTTTGTCAACCTAAAAAGTTTCTATTAGGTAAAAATATAAAAAAACTAACCATTAGTGCTTTATCTAACAGGTGTACTGCCAAAAAATATGACTCATTTGGTAGCCTGACCACGCGAGATATCCAAAAAATCCAATCAACCATTTGGGCTCGTTTACTCTCAGGAAAGCGGGAAGAAACATTTTCGCATGGCATCTAAAAAGGTAATTTTTCAAAAAAGACGCATGTTAAATATCCTACAAAGAGAACAACAGATATTTATTTGTAGCTTTTAGTTTAGAAATCAATCTAGCATATTCTAAATCATCTTATTTTACCTATTAGATTGGCAACTTGAAAGTTGGTACACTTTTTCGTATTTTCCATAAAACATATTTCATGCGCCAATTGAATTAGACTTCTCGAAATAAAAGTTATATATTAGCTAATTTAAGAAACGCTTAAGCAAATTTGGGCAACTTTTGAAACGAATTTGAGCAGAGGCTTTTCTGAAAATTCTTCTGAAAATAATTGGTGCACAAGTCATTTCTAAAAAGTGCAATGAATAAGTGTACAAAATTTCAAGTTGCCAATCTAATAGTAAGTAATTTAAGAATATAGTAAGTACCTGGTTGTGAAGAAAATAGTTGATAATGTCGAAAGCGTAATCGTTTCCACCAACATCTTCAAGTTCTAGCGGCAAACAAGCCCGAGAGGAAAATTGAACAAGCTAAATTTATAGTAAATGCAAGTTACCATGTAGTAGGACACTTACTCGATTCTCATCAATTTGTGCAACGAGATCTTCGAGCTTCTTGTTAGTTTCATTGACGCTTAGATGGCATGGGTTGGCAGCCATTGAACGTGTGCGTATTCCATAGTTTGCACGTAGTCCATTTCCTATTTCCTTCGCAGCGACAGAAATAGATCGAGCCGTCGATTCGTCTAAAACGAATACCGTATTTTCTGTAATAGTAGTGCAGGCAGGAGGGGGGTTGAAAAAATAGTAGTGTGCGCACTACTATTACAGAAAATACGGTATATAGAAAAAAACTAGCGTCATTAGCACAACGAATAGCCGTACAATACCTGACGTGAGATGAGCTTGAAACAAAGCTTCTTCGATACGTTTTCGATCATTCTTCTCAACATGGCATTTGGGGAAAGAATCCACTGACTGTCGAGCTAATCGGCGAGCAGATCGAACTTTGCTTGTAATGCTAAATAATAACTTGCTGACAGTTAATTGAGAGGAGAGCACGTGAAAACTAAATATACCTTTGAACGACGGTGCTTCCCTCAGATCCAAGTGATAAACGTCGAAATTTCGAAGTCAAGACTTTAATCTCACGATCCGTTGCAACTAAAATGAAAGATACCTACTCATACTGTTTAGTCCTCCTCCTTACAAATTTGAAGGAAGGGAACTGGTCCAATTAGGCTGTCCAGAAACTCTTTTCGTTCTTCCGTTTAAAACAACAACAAAATCGAATATTGAACGATTTTTACAAAAAACGCGCGTTTTCACCGTCGAATTTGCTTGAAAGTGACTTAAAAAGATGGGAAATTAAACAATAAACACTTTTTATTTAGAGCAAACCATAGGTTAAATGGTGAACTTGTTATTTTTCAACGAAAGTATGAAAAGGAACGAAAAGACTTATTCACCAACCTAATAAAAACTCTCGTTTTAAATTAAGCTAGAGTATAGTTTGTAAATATAGGTCATTGGTAGCTGTACATCTGGTCAGACATTTTTCGCGTCTTAAAAAAACATTAGTATTTTAAAATTCCCTGGTACTAATAAAGTTCGAGAGGCGGGCATTTGGTCAGATCGTATTTTTAGACCGTTTTACCAATGTTATTTCATTTTTTCTGAGGTAATGAAACAGGCTGAATCTATTGGTGATCTTTGAAAGTTGTTTTGAACATATGTTTCATTGAGTCAGCTGAAGTATAAGGGTTGCAGTGCCGCAACGCGAGAAAATGAGCCCAGGGGTGAAAGAAGTACAAAGTGAAAACTATTCAAAACACTTTAAAAATATCATCAATGGATCCAGTATGTTTGATTACCCCAAAAAAAAATTAAATAACATTGGTAACAGCAGACTAAACAACAAGAATATCGGCTTTTCCATTTAGATTCCAATCATTAAGGCAATTAACTTTAAAACAACGCTACAGCTACTAATGACCTATATTTGCAAACTATACTCTAGCTTAATTCAAAAAACGAGCTTGTACCACACTCAGCTACATGTCATCTAGGCTGTCCTTAGCTAAAGACCCTGAATCATCGAGTCGTCACCCTTTTTGACCACCCTAATTCTCAGTCCCAAAAAATCTAGACATAAGACATTTTAAACCCGTATTAATGTTATTTTACAAAAAAAGTAATTGGCCTTTCTAACGAAACAAACCGTAGCTCAATTGGTGTATTTATTGGTTTTAAACGAAAGTACGAAAAGACTTATTCAGTAACCTAAGACTACACTCAGCTACATGTCATCTAGTCAAACCACATACATTTTAAAACTAGCCAACTGGAGGTCAGTGCTTACTTAGCAAGTAGTTAGATGAGACAAATAACAAACTCACGCTTTCGAACGGCAACTCCAGCGTTCGCCTTGACATGTTGTTGAGAGATTCCATCCATCTTTTGTAATTAGCCAGCAAGAAACGAGCGAAAACCCGACTAAAGATAAAAAATAATTAAGTAGGTAAAATTCTTGAGTAAAGAAACACATTTCAAAAGAATGTTTAGAAAAGAGCCTATAAGTGGCTTGCATTTGCGTCCAAAAGTAGGTAGTTAAAATCATGCAGCAATGTCTTACGTATACACTTAGCATGCGCACATAAGCTGCAGCAAGTAAAACTATAAACTTGGGAATAACTTATTTAAAAAACTGCATTACACTTACTAGAATTTAATAAAAAGTGAATGGTCACGCAACATTAACTTTCCGAACCATAAAACATGAACCAAAATGGTGAACAATGAGTCATGAAATTTACTAAATGCCCAAAAATAATTTATAAACCAAAAAAAATCAGATGCTACTATACTTCGGTGGCATTTTGTACTAGTTAGGTTGACTGGGTACACCTAAGCTTCGACAGATCAGGTCAGATTTAAACCATAACTTTCTTCTGAGTGGACCGCTCTTTGTGATTTTATTATTTTTATTTTGTTGCTCCTGTTGAGAGCAGCGAAATAACACGAAGATCATAAGAATTAACCCACTCAGAAGAAAGTTATGGTGAGTTGCGCAAAAAAATGTCTTTTTGTGACTCTCTGCAAAAGCTTTACTGCGTAAACTTTTCTTTTTCGTCTACAAAATAACATTTTTTTTGTATTTGATCAACTCATGTGGGGATTGGCTTCATTGAATGCCTGAATATAAACTCTACTAAAATTTGTTCCAAAACTGCAACTCAACAAGTCCAGAATGAAAATTTTGCCAAATTTTCTGTCTTATATACTCACTTCCTACGGTACTTCAAACAGTTTCATGACGGGGCACGAAATAGAATTTTGGTTTGATCGAACTACACAAAATCTTATTCCCTTGTTTTTTCTCCCAGCTTTATTTTAAGTGAATTTGAGCGAATGAGCGAAAAATTCTGTATCCGATGGCCTAGGCCCCTTTTTGCCCCTCCACATCACCCTCGTGATCTTCCCTTGGACAGCAGTGAGATTTTCAAGACTATTACACTTTTTTTTCGATCTAAATCCCCGGCTGGCAGAGCAAGAAAATGTTGGAATCGAATCGTGTTCAATATATTAGCAGTTTTATTTGAAATCTTGAAATTTATCATCAGATTTGAGCCATTTCAAAATCAAAAAGCTACCCACAGGTGGCTGTTTGTGTTTTTGTCTTTCGACGATAAATGACGAACTTAATCGAAAAATGTGAGTCAATTCATCTTGTCAGCTGTTGCTTTGGGCAGTCTAGAGAAAAAAAAGGAGGGAAAGACAGGGATTGGGCCCCGGGTTCAACACCACCATTTCACTCTAGACACAAACCGATTAACACATATTTTGTCTGCCGTTTTTTTTTCCAGAATTTTTCAATGTTTCCCTATTCAAAACTACCGAATGAGCTAAAGAATTTGAGCTTGAAATCAACGAAAATCGACGATTTGTCTCAATTATTGCGAGCGAATAAGAAGTTGAGATTGGATTTGCTCAAAAATGGACCTTTCCCACCAAAGAAAATCAATTTCCTAGAGGTTCAATTGCCAATTTATCGAAAGAAAATCAGTTCCGAGAGTCCATACGAATGCGTTTTTGCTATTTGTTTCAAAGGAATTGCTCCAAGTTTTCATATTTCGGATAGTGAGGTGGAAATTGTTGAGGAGAAAAGATCGAAATTCTGTTTACCCGGGAAATCATTTTGGATGCTATTGAGAAAAATCACGAGTATCAAAGTATTGCTTATCGGTTGCTCTCCACATTTCGGACATGGCAATCTAGCGGAAAGGGAATTCGAGATTTTGCTGGATAAACTTTATTTTCTGCCGAATCTTCATCATGTGAATGAACTAGAATTGTCAAGTAATTCCATTGAATTCCTCGAGATTTGCTTTACTCGTTTACCCATCAAAGATTTCAATCGATTAAAGCTGAAAATCGATTGGGAAGGGAAAGCGACAAAGGAAGTGAAACAATTTTTGCAACAATTCCCAAAAAGGCCAAATCTTGATCGTTGTTCGCATTTTGTTTGGGCGGGGAGTCAAATTCCATGGAAACAAATCTCTCCATTACAAAATATTCTTCTCTACGAGATTCAGCAAGTTTTATGGAATAAATTCGTCGGAGCTTTGTATAAATTTTTCAGTGAAACAAGACTAAAAGTCAGGCAAGATATTGTGTTCTTGATTCAGGCTAAATATTTTACAAATGAAACAGTAGAAGAACTGTTTGAAGAGTTCATTGGAGAGGTTTTTGATGGAATAGCCGGCATTGAGGATTTAGAGAAAGCTGAAGAAATGAACCTTTTCTTAAAATCGTTGTCAAATTTAGGGAACTCGCTGGAGACGTTGAATTTCAGGGAACAGCCGTTAGATGTTGGGATTGTTGATGCTAGACGAAAGAGTTACTTTTTCCGAAAACAATGCACCGATCAAGTGGTGGCATTGGGATGTGCGACACTATTCCAAATTGAGAAAGATCAAGTTGAAAAGAAAGATCCCCAATTTTCCTATCAAATTTTCGTGAAATACTTTAATCAGCGTCAACGCAAGAAATCCATTTCAATAACTGAAGCTCAGCAGGCACCAAGTAAACGGAAAGTGTCACATATGATGATTATGAAAAGGAAAATCACAACTGGATATGATATAAGGAAAGCATCGCAACTCTTTGAGGCAATCATTCAAGAAAATATGCAATAGGAATTGTTTTCGTTAATATTGGTTGATTTTGATACATTCCCAATTTCCATAATCTTTTCTTTTTCAATTAGCAATTGTTTTCTTAGGATTTATTGAGCTTCAGTGAGATTACAATCAAACGTGAGTTTTTAAATCTTTTTAATCTATTCTTATTATAGTTAGCACCATTTTCTTTACCCATCAACTCTTTGAGCTTTCCTTTTCTTGAATAAAATCTTTTTCCAAAGTTCATAACCTAAAAAAAACCTATGAAAAGTAAAAGCTTCAAGTATAAACATTAAAAACAGATACAAGTCACTTATTAGTACCATTCAATTTTGACTTTTAAAATTTTTTTTACTTTAAATGGCACAATTATATTATATTTTAAGACTTTAAAAAAAATTCAGTTTTTTTTGACCCAAAGACAGCTGAGAAAAAGCCCGTACAGACGGAAGAAGGGACGGACAGACACTTGTCCACGCCCACACGACCCGGGCTCGACTCCCGGCTATGTCGTGACTTTTGCTTTTTAAAAAAACGAAATATGAGATGCATAACTACATAGAATTTGAAGCCTAACAAACTAAAAATCAGGTAACTCGGCCCAAAGTGAGCCGATTGTTAAAATTTGCTGAAAAGATACCTAGGTATTCACTTGACAGATCAATAAAATGAGCAGAACGAATAGATACTTGAGCATTTTTTAGTTCTTCCGATTGACATAAATTATGAAATAGATTGTGCACTGTAAATGCTTAATTTGGCATTGGAAAAACTTGGCACTCAATCAACTTGCTATTCTGTAAATTTTGTACAACTTTAATCTTTCCAACTGAACATTTTTGATGTGATAACTATTTTTCAGAGTCAATGAAAAATAATTGATAATTGAAATCATTAAAAAAAATAACAGAGCTTTCAAGCTATTTCAAAAAAAATCGGCATTCCATTCAGAGAACATTTCGGAGCGTATAACATAAAAATTTTATGTCATAATAAAATGATAAAGAAAAGTTTGAAAGAATCAGGTGAGAGTTCGAAAGTTCATTTCAAAAATGAATCGGCTTTTGAAGATGAAATCAATCTCTACAATTTGTCTCTTTGTCGTTCTCCCAATCGTCTCCACTCAATCAAACACCACAGCAGCTCCCGATTGTCAAGGGTTCGTTTTGGAAAGTTGCAGTTTTTAACGTTGAATCAAAATTTTAAATGCAATCTTTAAGCTTTTTAGATTCTAGCTGTCAAGTTTGAGCATTTTACAAAGCCTTTGAGGCATGGAAAAGCACTCTTACAAGAAACCGACTAGTTGGGCTTTGAGTTGAAGACAGTTCGATGTGATCTTGTGATCTACATCTTGTGTATCTATGCCTACCTATTATGATCTTGCATCTTTAGAGGAATAACTCTTGATTTCTTAGTCGAATAAGTACATTCGAAATAACAGTTTTAATTTCGTAGCTCAAAAAGGAATCCCAATCATTGTTCAAATCGGATTTGACTTGCACAATACAGTAGTGATTACGATAGAAAGTTGATATTGCAAGATTTCCAATTTCAAGATGTCAAGCCTATCAATGTCTCGACGATTCCATCGCTCACTGTGGCCCGACTGGATATCCGATCGCTTTTGGACTGTTCTATTGTAAAAGATTCGATCGTTTGTTTCAACAATCAACCAAAAAAAGCATCGATTTCAGAGTATTACGACGAGTTCAACAGTGCTGGAAAAGCTTTTGCCGATTGTGTGAAGCCAGCGTTGCTCGATTTTGTCCAAAGTTATCTCAATGTGAGTTTTTGGGCTAAAATTTCGATATTCAACGATAGAGCTAGCGTTTTATAAAACAACTAGTCTAGCAATAACATCTCATTAAACCTCTTCAAGACTTCTACTATGCAAAAAGTAACTTAATCGTAACATAAGGTAACCGTAACCGTAACCTAACGTAACCAAAAGGTAACTTGATCGTAACCAAAGTTAGATGGGTTACCAAATGATAACTTTTACGAGTTCATCAAAAATTTTGAAATTTATCACTACATGAGAGGATGACTTAGAGTCTAGAGCGAAACTAGTTAAAAAATGATTCCCTCCAAAAGATCTACATGTTTATTAGGTGCTAGTCAAAGCCTATTCAGGTGTGATTCTGTTCAGAATGTGAATGGTCCAGTGAACTGCAATGACTTGGAGAATAAAGCTTTGGACAGTCATGTTCCGATCTTTTTGGGATGCAACTTTTGCAATGTTTGGCTCTCGAATTTACCCACTTTCACGAAAATCCTCTATACCGGTATCACTCAGCCGGCACTTTGGCCTCGAATTTCGCAGATATTTTTGATGTGTCCTTTGGGATGAAAATTTGGGGAATAAAGACTGGTTGGCATTGAAAATTTGAGGAATAAAGACTTTTGTATTTGGTTGGCAATTTGACTCGGAATTTTCAAAGCACTGTCAACACAAAATATTGTTAAATGCTAATGAAATCACTAAATCTTTTTTTGAAAGAAAGAAAAAAGGAAAAAGACAGATCGAGTTTGTGTGAACAGGAAGGGGTTTATTTTGGGTGAAGATAACCAGTCAACTCCGAACCATCACCTAGAAAAAAAAGACGAAGAGACTGCCTATAAAGAAAATTTCTTTTCTGTGTGCCAGAAAGTGCTCGAATGTGTCATAGCTGGGACAACACAAGTGAAACGCACAACAAGTTTTCGACTTTATTTAAATAAGACTCAAAAAAGCTATTCAATGCTTAAAACAGGCAAAAAAAAGGATTTTTTCAGAATTTTTCCAGAACTTTTTCTTTATGACACTTCAGTGATTTTGGAGAGATTGCATTAGCATTTCAATATCAAATCTTTCTTGTTTAATCTCATCGAATGGTGCACTTTCCCAATTCCCGTAAATCTCTTTCAGATTATCCTTAAAAAGTCGTGGTTTTTTTTCCATTCTTACTTCTTTAATTCGCTTATAAAATAGATTTTTATCATCTTACTATACATCGATATGTTTTGATGAAAATACACTGCTGTGCTTACATCAACGGATTTGATGAATCGATGTTTGGGCTATAGCCAAGTGATTCATTTGTTCCACTTAAAATAGCTGACAAAGCTGCACAACTCTGACTTTACTTGAACAATTCTAAAGATATCTTTAGAATCTTTAGATGAGAAAAAACATCAAAGTTCATAGAACTGGGAATAGAAAAATGCGATTTTTCCTGATGAATGTACAGTTGAGATTCAGTTATAACTTGTGCAATGAAAGCAATGAGCATTTATTTGGCACAACTTTGTGAAGTGGAATTCTGGTTGGTTGCGACTCCGAGCGCATTCATTGATCCAACGGCTACTTTAAACGATTCGGATTGGTTAGAGATTAGTATGACACAATTATCGAGTATTACAAATATACCGAATTGGATCGTTGTATGGGTGAGTAAAGTATTTTACATTTGAAAAGAGTAATCTAAAAATTAGATACACTTGGCGGCGATCTTTGTTTCTCTACTTGCCACCTACAATTCATTTCAGAACACAGAACTTGTGTTGGTGGTCAGGTAATTCTAAAGTTAGAAAGTTTAAAAATGCCGTAAATCTTTTTAGAGACTCTATCCGCCAATATTCTAATTGAAATGACACTTAATATCATTCAAAAAAACTAGATTAATTGGCTAGTCGTCGAATCAAATCTTAGAATGTTAAAACTCAAAAAGTTACTCAGAGTTGGAGGAATTTTCGGCCGCCTGGACAAAAAGAAAAACTTGATTTGTTGGTTGGACCAAATTATTGCATAAGTGTACCTAAATGCTTGCTAAAAATAGTACTAAAATAGATAAGTGAATCACAAAAATCTGTTGAAATCGTTCAATAATGCCGAGTCTATTCAGCATTCGGTCCATGTAAACAAAAGAGTTTCAAATTTGACGCTTTGAACTTGCCATACTTTGCAAGGTCATAATTCAAAGTTGCATGGCAGTCGATTGATTCGCACAATGTACCTAGACATATTAAAATTTTGCGGCATATTCTATTCGTAAACTTTGTCTCCACTTTGTGCTCAATATCATCCTTTTTGTGGAAATCATGAGAAAACGATTTTCAGAGTGAAGAGAAATCAGATTCAAAAAGTTTTTTTGTTTCAGCAAAAGTCACTCACTATGTTTTCTTTTGTTTCTTTTCTTTTCTCTAGACTTATGATCCATATTTTTGGTTTTTTTTCCTCATCATAAAATATATTTTTAAAGTTTCTAAAGAGAATGAAGGCGGAAGGAGAGTCAATCCAGAAAAACCCGCCGTCAGGGGGTTTCTCGGTTGGTTATTCTAGAATTTGGATATAGCAAAATATCCAAAAGGAAATTCTTGTGTTCGATCGACTCTTAATTGTGCATTGAATGCAGTGTCGAATCTCAGTCGACTTTCTAGCTTTGTGGTAACTTTGTGATTTTGTGTATTTTTGTTAAACTTTATTAAGATTAACAATATTAAACCTAAATCTAGAATTGAGATCATTCATTGATGAGCTTTGGCAGCACAAATGAGAAGAAATGGAATAAGAATATTGTCGATAGTCATCGTAAGCAACATGGCAATTGACCAAAAAGTGAATTGCGCTCCTTCAATCAGATTTAACTCGAAAATAGCTTCCAAAACGATACTTAAGCGAGTAACAAAATAGAGATTTGTGCCAACATAGAGAATCGAGAACACAACCACAATACGAAACCAAAAAAGGCGATTGATTAATTTAAGGAAAGAGTTCAGCTTGAATTTCTTGATGATATTCGTGTTTCCGATCAACAGAAATCCCTCGGAATAATCGGCAAAAGGAAAACAATTTGAGATCGAATTGAGTACCGTTCGAATAGTGAAAATGATAACTAACAGGAAAATTGTTGGAAAGATTTGAAAAGCGATTATTAAGAACAATCGGGCATGAGTATATTCGTAAAACATTTGTTTCATTGTGTAAAAATGAGCAATGATTAAGCAAACTGTAGCGAAAAACCAGAGACAGCATAATGCGAATAGAAATACTAAAAGAAAAATGATTCTAGACAATCGAAGCTCTGAAAAGAGACCGTTGAAGAAATATCTTATTATTAAAGCTTCTCTTTCTAACAGAACAACATTTTTCAGATGATATCGAAGTCTTCTTGTTGTTGGATCAATGACAACAAGCTGTGATGGACTTGAAAAGTACTTTCTGACAAAGAATTTCCTGTCAATTGTCTCAAAACGATTCGTTCTTGCTTCATCATCGATGCGTTCAATGTATAGACTTTGCGAGGTTCCGAGATTTCAAGGAAAGAGGAGCTTCCGGGATTTGTTTCTAGTGGTGTTGGTTCTTCAGTTTGAACCAAACTTGTTACATTGCCTGAAGAGTTCAGAAGAATATTTATACTTGGATCTCGTAGTCGGACTGGTTCCCTTTCCTCTGTAGTTATAAGACTTGGTTCAATCAATTCATTGCCTGTTTCAATTACACTTTCTGTCTTGTTAAATTGACTTTGATTATTTCTAGAATTGAAAGCCAAGAGAACATTCATTTGTTCTACACAATTTGTCAAAAGAATAGTCAAATCTTGTAGTCGATCAACGATTTGAGACATTTCATTGCTTTGTTCATTGCTTTTACTCAAATTTTGATTTACAGACTGCTTACAAACAGTACGACTTGAGTTCTGTTGAAGAGGAATTTCTTTCATAGTTTCTTCTTTTAATTCATTCTCTAAAGTTGTTGTTTCAGAAGATTCCATTTCGGTTTCAATGATTTCTATCACCACTTCTTCATTCATCTTCTGGTTATCGATTTGGTAGTCGTTTAACCCATTAAAGAATACATTTAGATTATTTTCTGGTTCAAGAATCGATTCAACATCAGTAGTAAAGGCATTCAGTTCAATCTTTTGTGGAACCTTTTCGGGTTTAAATCGACAAAATGACAAATTTAGCCGATCCACTAAACTATGACCACTCCGATCAATTGAATGACTTGATTTTCCCTCTATTTCACTTACAATGGTAACTGATTCTGCAAAAATGGCTTTGTTTCCAGAAAAACTTCTAAGATCAGCTTCTTTGTCTTGATTTCCAAATTGAGCTCCATCTTCTTTAATAACAGTTGAACAGTTTGACAAAATATTCGCTTCTTCAGGCAAATCAGCTGGAAAATTTGAGTCAATACTATCCATGAAAAGAAGAATTTGAAAATAAAGTACATAAAGTCAATTTCAAGTTCTATTTGAAGAAAGCGACAAAGGGGGAAAGCTTATCTTTTCGAAGGTTTATGGTTTATTAGACTATCAAAGCCGATTTTTTTTTGTCTCGACCGCCAAAAGGACATCGAATTGATTGAACCCAAAGTCTTTGAGTGACTCTTTGTCATGCTACCCACTACCCACTCAATCCGATTAGAATTTTAAAGGAATCGGAAATCAGACATTTCGTATTCTTTATACAATTTAACAAATAACCTTTTTTTTGCTGTAATTAACGTAATTTCAAATGCATTAAGTGATCGAAATTGATAGAAGAAAACTTTTTTTACTCCCTGTCTTTTTGCAAAGTACATTCTCAGAAGAAAAAGCTTGAACTGGGGCATGTTCCCTATCATTGTAGAGGGATTTTTCATCGTTCTAACCAATTAGACTGTATTTTCATTTATGCAACATTAATCCGGCAACATTAATCATTAACCTTGTACCTCGGCTTCACAATTGTCAAATCCTATCAAAATAAATTTTGATGTTTCGAAAACGGGCATAAATCGTTTATCAACTTTTTGCTTATGAGAACTTGAGTGGATAATTAGAAAAGACCAAGCCAGAGCTGGAGTAAACATTTAAGCGTCTACTGCGTCAAACTTTCCAAAATAAATGTTCACATTTACAAATCCTCAACCACATTAATTTCTTGTGACTTAGAAGCCGGTGACATCATTCAAATCTGGTTCACAAAAGTAGTCGAAAATGATTTTCCGTTTTTTGTAAAATACGCTATAGTTTTTAAATCTTTGCCCAAAAAATCAAGAGCTATGAAAATGAAATTCCGAGATTTTTACGACAAACCGATAAGAAATCTTTTTTCTTTACAATGCTTAAATCTTTTTTTGTGATGGATTATTCGATTTTCTCATTGTTGATCTGGATCTTCTTATTGAGTCCGCTCATTTTTGCATCTGATCAAAATTGTCCTTCCGGATTTTTCTATCAAAGTGATTTGGAGCTTTGCCTGTATGGATCGACGGAGAGTGGTAATTTTGAATAAAAAGCCAAAATCTTGACAGCTTTTTACAATACACAAGTTATAACAAATATAAAAATATTGAATTTCACGCAAAATCCTTTCTTTTTTAACCATTTGGACCGATGCGCACTCGTTTTGCACTCAAAGAGCCTCTGAGCTGATCTCGATTCACAACGCCTTCCAAAACTCGTTTTTTGCCTCACTGGAATCAAAAAGTTTAGCAAAGGTTTTTTTCGTTATTCATTTTATGGTTTCAGCTTTAAATCAAGACCGATGTTGGCTTGGAGCACAACGAAGTTCAGCTGATAAACCATGGAGTTGGTCAGATGGGACTACAATGGATTATCAACGTTTTGGAACACCAGGTCGTGCTTATTAGATGACAAGTTTCATCTTTGAATCAAAAATTTGTAAACAACAATAATCGACTTTGTGAAAATGATGAGTAAATCAGAAAATAAGTGTTTACAAGTGAACAAAATATAAGCTGAGTTTCATCTAAAGTAGTTTACTTTTGTTTCTATCAAAGAGTTGAATAAGGACGATTTTTAGACGAGAAAGGTAATTGTGCTTTTCTTGATTCTCGAGATTTATTGTGGAAAGAAGGAGATTGCACATCGAAATTCTTCTTTTTCTGCTCTACTCAACCACTTTCTCCAATAACAACACAAAAGCCATTGATCTGCCAGCCATGTTCGTAAAAATTCTCTATTTTTTCAAAATTTGCATTGACCTTCATGATTTCAAAGTGCCAATTCAGCTGAACTCCAACCTCTCTACAATTGTCGACAGGGTTGGCAATATTCTACAATAACTGGATATCAATATTTGGTATTTGAAACGATGAAAAGAGATCTTTAAATCGAAAACTAGGTTGGTTTTGATCGAAATTTCACCGATGCAGAAGGATATTGTCAATCACAAGGAGCTCATTTAACCTCAATACACAGTGATGAAGAAAACGATTTTGTGACAAGTGAAAAGCTTTCTTTTTTTTATATCATCAAGACCTAGGTTTATGTTGCAAAGCTGGCTGTCATCAATCTTCACATGATGGTCACTTTTATGCACTTTATCTGACAGGAGGCCATCGGGTAATCAATTCCTATCAAACAATTCACATCAAACAGTTCACATCAATCAATCCACATCAATCAATCCACATTAGTCAATCCATATCAATCAATCCACATCAATCAATCCATATCAATCAATCCACTCCAGCTCATTTCCTAATTTGAATTTAACTATAGAAATCAAAGATTTATGCTAATTTACTGGATTTCTTTAATCAATAATGTCTTTCCTTTAGCTAGAGGATAACGGAGAACTGATTTGGACTGATGGAACAACAAACGACTTTCAAATGAAACAATGTTCAAATGATACGAGGCTTAATTCGACAATTATGGTTAATTGAATAATGAATTAAATAATAAAATGTATTGATTTAGAATATTTTGACCTTTCCAGATTGTCGCCTTTTCTTGTAATCCGGGAAATGATTGCGGTTTCCCAGGTATTTGGTGGATCTATCGACTCATCCCCACCGACATTATACCGTATTTTGTATGCAAGAAAAAGTGATTATCATAAATATTTTATTGATTTTAAATAAACATCACTTTACGTACGTACTTGAGTCTATTTTTGCAATGATTCTTATCACAGAAACTCGGCGGGCTTAAAAGTCAAAGCGATTATCTCTGCTCTCCATCCAAAGTTTCATAGTTCACAAGAAAATGATGGCAAATTTGTGGTTTCTATTTTCAATTTACCTATTGAACATTATCAAATGTGATCAACCACTTGTGCTCACGAAATATGGAGCTGTTTTGGGGAATTTTCAAACAACGAGTGATGGAACGAAAATCAACGAATTCATGGGGATTCCCTTTGCCGCGCCGCCAATTGGAAAATTGAGATTTGAGGTTTTTATTGCCATTTATGGACATGTAAATTCTGAATTTACAAACTAGCTGAACAATTTTAGAAACCCCAACAACCCATTCCTTGGACAAAACCAATAAACGCTACTGCTTATTCGAAGGGATGCATCCCATGCGTGAAACCAGAGTGATTGCTTTTCTTCAGCTCACTTTACACAAAATGTTCAGAACAAAAGCCGAACAAGCACTTGTCAGCGAGGATTTTCTCTATTTGAATGTTTGGTCACCAAATCTACAGGTTGAAATTGAATTGAAAGACTTTATGATAGAGTTTCAGGATCATTGCCAGTGTTCCTTTTCATTCCTGGCGGTGCTTATGAAACTGGCAGCACGTCTGCTTATGATGCGAAGGCTTTTCGTGAGGTTAGTGCAACTAGAAATATGTCTTTTAGAAAGATTACTGTTATTACAGCTGTTAGAACTTTCAAAGTTATTTTGGTTTACTAACCGATTACTGTAGCTTTCTTAATCACCAGTACCACTAAAAGAATAAAATCTATCAATTGAGAATTTTGCTCGTCGTGGAATCGTTGTTGTTACAATCCAGTACCGTCTTGGACCTTTCGGTTTATTCCACCATTAAATTAACGAAACATTTCTTTCTTTTGCAGGTTTCTTAACGTTAAATGACTCCTCGATCACTCCAAATCTCGGTCTTTGGGATCAAGTTTCTGCTATGCAATGGATTCAGGAGAATATTGGACGATTTGGTGGCAAGTGCCCTTTTGAGAACAAAATCCACTCATCAGCTTTAGGCAACAGCAAGCAAGTCACAATTATGGGCGAATCGGCAGGTGCCGAATCGGTCAGTCAACTCACATTGTCTCCGAAAGCACAAAGTCTGTCTAGATGAACTTCTTATAATGTCGTATTTAGCTCTTTTTCAACAAGCCATTCAAATGAGCGGCTCATCAATTGGGGCAGCTGCTAGAGGCACAAATAATTTGGTGAGAAATCTGGTGAGAAAGACTACTACAGTAATCTGTTTTCTCAGGATTTTTCTCGAAACTGGACAATCCGACTTGATTGTGATCTCAAATCCGACTATAAATCGTTTGTTATTAGCACAATTTTAAAGATAAAGTGTTTTAGATGTCTTCAATCGAAAACTGTTGACGATTTTTGGAAAATTCGGACAAATAATGCTTGGGTTAGTGAAAGAAAAAGCTGAAAAAATAAATCTTTAGGGCTGTGGACCGGATGATTTGAACTTCTTGGGATTCGCTCCAATTGTTGACGGAGATTTTCTCCCAAATCAAGTGAGAATGTAGAAGAACTAATAACTGAATTCAAGAATTATTTTCAGCCAGAAGTTTCACTAAAGAATGTACCCAAATACCCAACGATTCTTGGATTAAATCAAGTTGAAGGAAGAGCTTTTAGTAAGCTGTTTTTACATTGATTTAACGTTGTAAGACAAAGCTGCATACATTTTAAATACATAAATGCATACAAAACTGCATACGACTGAGTATTTCTATCAACATTAGTGGAATTTGTAGCTGTTTCTTTTCTATTCAATCATTCAATCATTTCAGCCATTCAGTCATCCGTTCAAGCTTTTGGACTAAGCCCCTTGAAAATGGCCAACCTACAATCAAACCCAATTCGTCAACTATGTTGAAAGATTTATCACATCAGAAGTTGTTTTCCGTTTCGATTTTACCCAATCTGTACTTTAGGGATTCTCCAGCATTGATAAACAACAAGCCACCCAAGATATCTTGAACTATTACAAAAGAGATCATGATCCAAGTGATGCCAAGTATTGGATAGAGAGATATGTTGAGGTAAACAAGGAATTCAAATTTAACGATAACCTTTCTATAGAGCTATTCGGATTGGGGTATGAATGTGCCAGTGTTGAGAGAGGCGATTGCAAAGGTTCAAGCTGGGACACCACTCTATGCATTTCTACTTGATTATGACAATCCAACAACTTGGCCGACAAATTATCCAGCTCAAGGTAGAAATTATTCTGAAGATCAAGACCAAAATGAGATTCCAGGATCCACTCATACAAGCGAATTCCCATACACTTTTGGCATGATCGTGAATATTGGTTTCAACTATACACAAGAAGATTTAGTTGTTGAGAAGTACATTCAAGATGCACTTGTTCATTTCATAAAAACTGGGTATGATGAAAGAAATGAAAAGTCACAGTTTTTAACAGAAATCCATCAACCACAGCAATGCCATGGAAACCTTTCTCTTTCAACGATCATGACTATTTGAGCTTGAAACCGCAGCCGGAGATGAAAACGGGTAGGAGATGCTGGAAGAGTTTGAAGCTAAAACTCAGTTAGTTCTAGAATTTTGGGTTTTCAGATTTGTTTGGTGATAGCTATCGTTTCTGGTCGGATTTTATGAAAGCAAGATATCAATACGATTGGATAACCTATCAAAATTGGTGAAGGAAATCTATTTTGTACATATCTGCAAATGATTTCTGATTTCTTTGCAAATGAAAACCTCAAACAACATTTCAAATGCTCATTCAAACAATAAAATTAGACACGCACAATTTGCAAGAAAAAAAATATTGATTTCCATAACTGTTTTTTGTACTAATGGAAAGTGTTAAACGCTTTTTCCTTTCAGACAACCATTAAAATGCATTTAAACCCTCTTTTTTTGATGTGATTGGCTTTGATCAAGGTTATTTTTGAAAGTTTAACGGCTTTAAAATTCATTTTTTTCTACTTAAGTTTCATAGAAAGTTTTAAAATCTAAACAAAAAAAAGGCCTTTTGCAAAAATGTTTACATTTGGCTTCAGAAATCGAGTTTAAAAAGCTATATTTCAAAAATAGTTAACTGTTAAACTGAAAAGTTCATTGTAAATTTACAAAATGAAATCAGGATTATAAAAAGGTCGGTAAAATTGGAGAAAAAATGAAATTCGAAAGGGAAAACCGCGATGATCTGTATAGCTTTTAGAATCTGTCGTGAGTTTCTTCTATTGTTAAAACCATAAACACTCCTTTCATTAGAATTCTTTTTATTTAGTGAAAACTGATAATTTTACACATATTTTCTTTTATTATATTAGGTAACAATGCTTTGTCTCTCTTTTCATCTCGATGCTAATTTTTTCATTATGAAAATGAGAGTTTTTCAAGTAAAACCGAATGAAATAACAAAGATGCATCATAAAGTTTGAATGGTTGAATTTGAGAAGAATTTTTTGACGTTTTCCACTTTGACTCAAGCTTTCTGCAAGAGTTGGCTTTTATAGAAAAAGCTATTAATACGTTACGTTAATTACAGCTTATTTGAAAAGTTTATTTGTTAAATTGTATAAAGAATATGAAATGTCTGATTTCCAATTCCTTTAAAATCCTAATCGGATTGAGTGGGAGGCATGACAAAGAGTCACTCAAAGAATTTGGGTTCAATCAATTCGATGTCCTTTCGGCAAACAAAATCGGATTTGATAGTCCATAAACCTTTGAAAAGATAAGCTTTCCCCCTTTGTCGCTTTCTTCAAATACAACTTGAAATTGACTTTATGTAATCTATTTTCAAATTCTACTCTGCATGGATAGTATTGACTCAAATTTTCCAGCTGATTTGCCTGAAGAAGCGAATATTTTGTCAAATTGTTCAACTGTTATTAAAGAAGATGGAGCTCAATTTGGAAATGAAGACAAAGAAGCTGATCTTAAAAGTTCTTCTGAAAACAAAGCCATTTTTGCAGAATCAGTTACCATTGTAAACGAAATAGAGGAAAAATCAAGTGATCAAATTGATCGAAGTGGTCATAGTTTAGTGGATCGGCTAAATTTGTCATTTCGTCGACTTAAACTCGAAAAAGTCTCACAAAAGGTTGAACTGAATGCTTTTACTACTGATGCTGAATCGATCCTTGAACCAGAAAATAATCGAATTGTATTCTTTAATGGGCTAAACGACAATCAAATCGATAACCAAAAGATTAATGAAGAAGTGGTGATAGAAATCATTGAAACCGAAATCGAATCTTCTAAAACAACAACTTTAGAGAATGAATTCAAAGAAGAAATTCCTCTTCAACAGAGCTCAAGTTGTACGTTAAATTCTGCAAAGCAAAATTTGATGAAAAGCAATGAACAAAGCAATGAAATGTCTCAAATCGTTGATCGACTACAAGATTTGACTATTCTTTTGGCAAATTGTGTAGAACAAATGAATGTTCTCTTGGCTTTCAATTCTAGGAATAATCAAAGTCAATTTAACAAGACAGAAAATGTAATTGAAACAGTCAATGAAATGATTGAACCAAGTCTTATAACTACAGAGGAAAGGGAACCAGTTCGACTACGAGATCCAAATATAAATATTCTTCTGAACTCTTCAGGCAATGCAACAAGTTTGGTTGAAACTGAAGAACCAACACCACTAGAAAGAAATCCCAGAAGCTTCTCTTTCCATGAAATCTCGGAACCTCGCCAGTTACGACCGCAAAGTCTATACATTGAACGCGTCGATGATGAAGCAAGAACAAATCGTTTTGAGACAATTGACAGGAAATTCTTTGTCAGAAAGTACTTTTCAAGTCCATCACAGCTTGTTGTTATTGATCCAACAACAAGGAGACTTCGATATCATCTCAAAAATGTTGTTCTGTTAGAAAGAGAAGCTTTAATAATAAGATATTTCTTCAACGGTCTCTTTTCAGATCTTCGATCATCTAGAATCATTTTCCTTTTATCTTTCCTATCCTCATTATGCTGTGTATGGTTTTTCGCGACAGTTGGCTTAATCATTGCTCTTTTTTACACAATGGAACAAATGTTTGACGAATATTCTAACGCTCGATTGTTCTTAATGATCGCTTTTCAGATCTTTCAAACAATTTTCCTGTTAATTATGATTTTCACTATTCGACCGGTACTTAATTTGATCTCAAATTGCTTTCCTTTTGCCGATTATTCCGAGGGATTTCTGTTGATCGGAAACACGAATATCATCAAGAAATTCAAGCTGAACTCTTTCCTTAAATTAATCAATCGCCTTTTTTGGTTTCGTATTGTAGTTGTGCTCTCGATTCTCTATGTTGGCACAAATCTTTATGTTGTTATTCGTTCAAGTATCGATTTGAAAGCGATTTTCCGGTCAGATCAGACTGAAGGAGCGCAATTCGCTTTTTGGTCGATTGCCATACTCCTTACGATGACTATCGCCAATATTATTGTTCCATTTCTTCTCATTCGTGCTGCCAAAGCTCATCAATGAATGATCTCAATTCTAGATTTAGGTTTAATATTTTGTGATCTTAATAAAGTTTAACAAAAATAACACAAAATCACAAAGCTACCACTGAGCTCGAAAGTCGACTGAGATTCGACATTGCATTCAATGCACAATTAAGAGTCGATGGAACACCCTATCCAAACAATCCGAACATATCCGAGCACCCTATGTTTTGCCCTATCCAAATTCTAGAATAACCAGCCGAGAAACCCCCTAACGACGGGTTTTTCTGGATTAACTCTTCTTCCGCCCTCATTTACTTTAGAAACTTTAAAAATATATTTTATGATGAGGAAAAAACAAAAAATATAGATCATAAGTCTAGAGAAAACAAAAGAAAACATAGTGCATGACTTTTGCTTTCCTTTTGCACTAGATGAACTTCGCGAGCCTTGCAAAGTCTCCAAAAATTTGTAAATTCATCAAATCACCCTAGCGGGGGTGATTTTTATTCTTTTTATAATAAAATTATATAAAGTTCATCCTCCAGAAAAAAATCCAGAAAAACCCGTCATTAGGGGGTTTCTCGGCTGGCTATTCTAGAATTTGGATATAGCACAGATTTGAAACAAAAATACTTTTTGAATCTGATTTCTCTTCACTCTGAAAATCGTTTTCTCATGATTTCCACAAAAAGGGATCATATTGAGCACAAAGTGGAGACAAAGTTTACGAATAGAGTATGCCGCAAAATTTTAATATGTCTAGGTACATTGTGCGAATCAATCGACTGATCAACGCCAAAATTGCCATGTAACTTTGAATTCTGACCTTGCGAAGTATGGCGAAGTATAAATTTGAAACTCTTTTGTTTGCATGGACCGAATGTTGAATAGACTCGGCATTATTGAACGATTTTTTTGAAGTGAATAGGATATAAAAGAGAGCCTGCCGTGGTCATTTTCGACATTCATCCTCAAAAATGCGTACCTTCTCGATCATCCTCATTGCATTCTTTGTCATCGGTGAGTGTCATCAATTTTTATCCATCAATTTTTATCAACAAATCTCCTTGTTTAGCGGCTTGCTATGCAATTCTCCCGGAAATAAGTGAAGAGGTTCAGCCAAATGACACGATTGTACTCGCCTGTGGCATCAATTGCACGGTTGGAGAAAATTAACAAAAAAAGATTGCAAGCTGCTCAATTAGTAACTCTAAGCTAATTTATTATTTAAATTTCTCTCAAAGACAATTTCTAGACCGGAACCTGTGCCGGATGCTGTGTTGCGCATCATTACACAACTGGTTACTGTGGAATTGTTGGGACAGTCGTGTGTATTTGTAAATGAGCAAATAAATATATTTCTTTATTAAAAAAATATATTTCTTTTAACTATAAATTGACGGATTTCATGAATTGCTTTCAACATTTTCACTTATTTGTCTTTTTGAACCGTGGAAACAGTAATTGATTGTCTGTCCGATATCGAAAGCGTATTCGTTTTCTTCAAGAATACCATATTATCAACACTAAATATAAGATTGAAAAATGAAAGCCAGCAAAGGAGATTTCTATAAACCATAACGAACTGTTTTAGGTAAAAAATTAAAAAATCTTTTTACTAAAAATCGTGGGGAACACATAGATTTTTTCAACAAATCAAAATTTTTAAAAGTTTTTCTCTAAAAACTCGAAACCCGGCTTTCGGATGTCGATTTTCGTAATTTAAGCATAAAATTATTCCAGAAAAACGTGTTTTGGTGAGCCGTGGCTGCGGGGGTAAACTATATTTTTACCAACAAAACAAAGCAAAAGCAAATTTTTCCCTTAAAAATGAGAATTTATTTGCTTTTGCTCATTTCACTTTTGATTGCAACTGTTCTCTGTTTTGAGGGTGTAAGTTGGAGTTAAAATTTGAATTCTTGACGTTAATTTTGTATTCATAACTTACTCGGATACTTTAAAACAATTTGAAATCGATCACTAACGAATGATCGTGAATTCAATGGGCACAAGAAACTAAGGGTGTGTAAAATATTACTTGCTAAAAAAAGAAATATTCTTTTATTTAGATGGGTTCCGGTGGTACAGCTAGCAAGCTCTTTGATTTCCGACAATAACTTTAAGAATGAACTTTTGTGAAGCAGATTTGAATGATGGACAGGCTTCAAAGCCACAAGAAATCAATTTGGTTGAAGATTTGTAAATGTGAACATTTCTTTTGGAAAGTTTGACGCTGTAAACGCTCAAAACCGGCTCAAATATAGCATACATACTGATGCACATTGTACACCATTCCAGATTGACAACCTTGAAAAACACTGACACGAGAAACACCGCAGAACAGGGGAAATATTCGAGAATGATCAACTCAAAGGGTTACGGTATTACAGGTATATTAAAAAGTATTCTTTCACAAACTCGTATTTACCTGAATAACTAAGCATTGGAACAATTGTCTCTGTAATCGATACCGTCGATCGCTGAGGATTTCCGTGGAATTAAACTTCTTGTTGACCAACCGCAGAATAGCAGAATACTATATTGAATTTGGCAAAATTTTACAAATTATCACAAAACATTGTGCTCATTTCGGTCATGCAGATTTCTTAGACAAAGCCATAAACGAACTTGAAGTGTTGCTGGCCTTGAGAGTCGTAAAGCTTGAAAAGTAACAGTTCTTTCTAGCAATTTTACAGTCTTGTAAATCTACAATCCTTAAAATTTATTTACAAAGAAATGACCTACGATAATCGCTGTTTCGCTAGTTGGCCGGCCGGAGAATCTCCGAAATCCATCACTTTCAACTCGGTAAAGAAATTCTAGAGTTGGACCTGCAAAGTGGAAAAACGATTAGCAATGAAGTGTATGGGACCACTAAAAAGTACAACCAAAATGAACTTACCAATAAACCAAATGCCCAAACGGCAAAATCGAGTAAATGCTAAGCGGTAAGGATAAATATTCCCCGTTTTGTGTTGATCAGTTTGAGGCAATCAGTTTTTAAACAATAGATTTGCGAAGGCTTTAGTATCTTTACTTACAAATGCAAGCGTATTGATAAATGAAATGATTTGAGAGAAGGATGGTTGATTGAGCGAAGCGAGAACAATAACCGAGGACATCTGTGTAGTTTACTAAAGACAAAGATCAACATTTTCCAAGCTATTATTCTTCAAAAGTCACACAAATTTACGAAAAAAAATCAACTTTTTGTACCGTATTCCACTCGGCTCAGTAACGAAGATGAGTAGAAAATTAGGGCATAGTTTTGCACCAAAGCATTCTGAATCTCTTTTCTATTGAATCAAATATCGTAACCCACCGGAGCACGAGCTCTGGCAATGCACGAGTGGACGATTTGTCGCATAAAGTATATTAAAAATGGCTGACAAAAGGAGTAGATATCTTAAAATTGAAGATAACTTAAGCTTAACGACAAATTGCATATTTCAAAAGCTGTCATTCAAATTACAAGTAGACTTGTCATTGTCTACTCACCGATAATTCCCAAGTTTTGAGTGGAGATTCCTGCGAACTTCTAGCCAAGAGCCAGTTTCATCTTAAACAGTGATTTATTGGGACAATTGTTTTTCTTAGGGTAGTGAAAGAGTAAAAGTTTCTAAAAGTCTTTAAAAATAAATAGTTTTCAGCTTTTGCCTGTTCGTCTGTTTGGATCAAAAAAAAAGCGGATGTTTAGTCGAAAATGTGACTTTTCTTGGGCAATTTGTGATAATTTGTTTGAAAAACTGAGCCATTTCACGGAATTTGGCAGTTTAATGGAATCTTTTATGGCTGTAGATCTTTTTATCTCAACTTCGAAATGATGAAAATTTCGTTTTTTAAAAACTTTTCTGTACCTCTTTTCAAATTGGCAACTTGAAAAGGAAAAAAAAATACCATGAAACTAGAATTTAATCAAAAAAAATTGAAAAATCTTTGCCTTTTCCAGGAATCCCAAGAGTAAAAGCTACAAAAAAAAACACCTCAACGATTATCCAAAATTAGCTCAAAGTCAGAGGTTCTCAAATCTTTAAACAAGAAAACTTTCTTCGATCCACATCACTTTTCCCTTCGTTCCAAGGTCAAGTTTCTCAGAAAAACAACAAAATGACAACATTTTGATCTTATTCTTTCAAAAGGAAATTATATTTGATGAATCAGCTGTTGACTAGAGATAAATCTAGAGTTAGAGATCATTAACAGATCAAAGAAAATAGAGAAACTGAAAGAATAATGATTTCCACGTGAGATTAAAGAAGAAATGTTTAAGGAAAGGGTATAAAAAGAAGATACTAACAAGCATTTTCAACACCCAACTCAATTCAAAGCCAACACTCAAAAAATGTATGCTTTTTTGCTCATTCTTGTCGAGTCACGAGTCAGAGCTTTGACGAATCGAGTCAACGAGTCGACTCGACTTTCCTCTTTCCTCATACTTAGACATGGCTATCATGAACTATCAATCTTATCAAGCATTTGTGATTGACAAAGTTTCTAGAGGCTACTTTTACCCTTTATGCAACATATTTATTACCAAAATGAAGCTAGAAGAGGCTTTCATTTAAGAAAGGTTCGAGTCGATCAGAAATTTCAGTTCCGAGCAATAGCTCCCTCGAGTCACTCTAAAAGATTGATAATTCTTGATATTCATGTCTACTCATACGCCTTTTTAACACTTTTTTACCCGCCCTACCTTACAAGTTCAATGCTCGATGGGAATTTTGGTTTTGATCTCAGTTTACATGATGTACTTAAGCTGAATGTTGAGTAGACTCGGCATTATAGAACGATTTTTTTAGTTAGATATAAAAAAGAGCCTGTCGTGGTCATTTTCGACATCCAAAATGCGTACATTCTCGATCATCCTCATTGCGTTCTTTGTCATCGGTGAGTGCCATCAATTTTTATCAACAAATCTCCTTGTTTAGCGGCTTGCTATGCAATTCTCCCGGAAATGAGTGAAGAGTTTCAGCCAAATGACACGATTGTACTCGCTTGTGCCATCAATTGCACGGTGGGAGAAAATTAGCAAAGAAAAAGATTACAAGCTACTCAATTAGTACATCTAAGTTAATTTATTATTTAAATTTCTCTCAAAGACAATTTCTAGACCGGAACCTGTCCCGGATGCTGTGTTGCGCATCATTACACAACTGGTTACTGTGGAATTGTTGGGACAATCGTGTGTATTTGTAAATGAGCAAATAAATATATTTCTTTATTTATAAACTATAAATTGATGGATTTCATGAATTGCTTTCAACATTTTCACTTATTTGTCTTTTTGAATCGTGGAAACAGTCATTGATTGTCTGTCCGATATCGAAAGCTTATTCGTTTTCTTCAAGAATACCATATTAGCAACGCTAAATATAAGATTGAAAAATGAAAGCCAGCAAATGAGATTTCACTCTAACTAACCCAAGGACAAATGTCTGAACACACATTCGAATATAGGCAAGAAAACTTGTGGCTAATTGACTCAAAAAATAACCAATGGATAAGTATTGTACAATAATCAAAAAACTTGTGCCAAAATAGTCCATAAAATAATAAGTGGATGTTGTGAGCATCTGGAATTGGAGATGAATGAATCACAGAAATGAAATACAATTACCAGAATCATCAAGCGCTCATCAGGTTTTGAATTTTTCTTCTGTTTCCACTAAAATGTTGTTCATTAGGTTTCATCGATTTCACTCTGATAGGCCAAGAATGAAAATCTTGATGCGTGAAATGGGATAGTTATTTATTTTATGAGTACTTTACATAACTTGGTAGCTACTTTGTTCACTAAAGTTAAATGAACCGAAAATTTTGAGAAATTGATCGATTGCTCCTTGATGACTACAAGATCAACTTGTATTTACAATTTAAAAAGTTTTCTATAAAACAAAGCATAGAGGTCGTTTGTCGCCAACCTTACAAATCTTTCGATAAGTAAAATAATCGATTGTGGTCATAAAACAGACCACAATCACTCGAAAAACCGTAAACGCTCGCATTACGTTCCTTCCACTGAAAACCTTTCAAATACTTTCCACATCTTCAGCTCTTTACCCATCTGATCCATCAGACCAAAATGTCACTACTAAGAACTCGATGAAAGAGAGAAAATAACAAAAAGCGAATTGAGCAATTGACCATCGAAGAGACTGGTTGAAGAATCGACCGTTAAATGAAACGGCAAAGAAACGACTGAAAAAGACTTTCATTTAGAATTCATTCTTTTCCTGTAAACCTTATCGATAAAACACCTTGAAACCATAAATTGTTTGGCACAAATTGAAAGATTAGCTGCATAGAAATCGTGAAATCGCTGTCATATGGGCACCTAGTTAA